AGCCATGGGACCAGCTGCCTTCACCACCACATCGCCAGCTGGCCCTCATTTTTATAATTTTGTTATTAATTTGTATGGGCTATCTTTGTTTTCCCAGTGTTCTAATATTTTGCTTTTTTAAAAAAATTAATTTCATTTATTGTTATTTATTTTTTTAATTTGACCAGAGAGAGGGAGGGAGAAAGGGAAAGTGAGAAAGCAAGCTGGCAGGCTCAGGACTCAAACTACAGTCGGCCTTGTGGAATCCAGCACCTTAACCACCACGCCACCTGCTGGCCTCTCTTAAGATCTTGCTTTCTGACAGGAAGTCATGTATAGAGCACATGGCTCTTTCTGACTTATGGAAGAGAGTTAAGTTGTATTTTTTTTTTCCCTTTCTTTCTGCAACAAAGGTGATTAAAGCTTCAGAGAGCAGAGCACTGGATTTAATACTGTGTCCTATAACCTTAAATAAACCTGACTGTTTTGCTGCCTCTGACTTTCAGAAGAATGAGGGTAAAGTTATGTCAAGGAGTTATATGAGGTTTAATTAAAAATAATTTCCAGAAGTGACCTGTGATTGGTATACTTCCAGGTTAGTGTCCACCAGGGTAGAGTGGTCACTCATGACAGTGACCCACAGGTACTTCCCTGTTCTCAGAGGAGGACGAAAACATCTGTCAGTGTATTGTACTGCTTAAGAGAGAAAGGCATATAATAAGTTTTTAAATAATCCTCAGTAACAGAAATCGAAATAAAAATGGTTTCCTTGGCTGTTTTCAGTTAGACAGAAAATTTAATTAGAACAGTGGTCTTCCTTGGCATTTTAATTGCTAGGGAGTTTATTGCCACTGAATACTAAATCTCGAGGAGGAGATAGTTTAACGAGAAGAATCCTAGACAGCGGAGGATGTGTCACATGGGTATGACTTTACCTGGTGTCTGGAGGTAAAGTAACAGAAGGGAATTTATAGTGCCTCAGTTTTAATGAAGGACAGAGGCTGAGTTTTTTGTTTGTTCATTTGGTTGGTTGGTTGGTTGTTTTTTTAGTTTTTTCTTTGCTATAGGGTGTGTGAGAAATCACCTCCCAGGGAGATGGCCATGCTGCAGTCCCTTCTCCTCCATTCTCCTCTTGGGATTTTGGGCACACACGCACACGTGCACACATTCCTGGCATGAGGACTGGAGTTTTTGCTTTGTTTTGTTTTGTTTTTTTGAGAGATTTTTTGCTATAGGGCGTGTGTGCTCCCAGAAAGACAGAGAGACAGAAAGCAAGAAATCACCCCCCAGGGGGGATGGCCACGCCGCGATCCCTTCTCCTCCATTCTCCTCTTGGGATCTTTGGCACGCACGCACACGCACCCAGTGTGAGTTTAAGTCACCGGGTCCAGGACGCGAACCGCGGTCGACTACATGAGAGTCCAGCGACATAGCCATTACGCCAACTGCTGGCCCCGCATTTTTAAAAATTTTCAGCAAGGCCTATGTGCTTGCTGGAGAGAGAAGGAGAAGGAGAGAGAAAGTGAGAAAGCACCCCCTCGGGGGGATGGCCACTCTACAGTCCCTCCTTTTCTGTTTTCTCTGGATACTGGGCACACACACACACACACACACACACACACACAGAGCATGTTTTTCATACCACTGGGTCTTGGACTCAAACTATGTAGTTGGCCATCTGAGATTCAGCTGCCTTCACTACCACACCACCAGCTGGCCTGAGAGGTTGAGATTTTAATCTGTAATCCTAAATAGTAATATATTTAGAGAGAGAGACGAGTGTAGATGACAGATCAGACTTCAGGGCATAAACATTTTTCATATTGCAAGAGATAAGATTTGTTTTTATATTTGATTTCTATGGTTTTAGTTTTACTCTGTGATAGACAGAAATATTCATATGTTTGGTCATCTTTTCCCTGAAAATTTTCAAATTTATAAATATGTGCAGTAATGGAAGGATTACCAAAACATGGTTTTATGAGTCCTCTTCGTTCTCCCCCCCACCAAAGTCTTTAAGTTCTATTTCGGCTACACCTAAATATGTATCAAGATAGATTTTTGGGGGGCCAGAAGGTAGCATGGTAGTGAAGGTCACTGGACTCCCACATGGCTGACTGCAGTTCGAGTCCCGGACTTGACGGCTTGCTTTCCCACTTTCTCTCTTTCTCTGTCTCTCTGACCCTCTCTGGTCAAATTAAAAATAAATAAATAGAGTTCAATAAAATAATTCTTTAAAAAAAAGATTTTTTTACAATTAATTAATTAATTAACATTTATTCCCTGACCATCGGTCACAGCATACAAAATGTGATTTCTCATACAGAATATACTGCATAGTGGCTTAATCATACATGTTATTGTCAATAATTTTCCATTTTTAGTTTCATATATATATGATATATGTATGTGTATATATATATTTCTCCCTGTTTTTTCACCCTCTGCCATTTCTCACCCTCTTCCCACACTATGTCTGGTGTCTACAGTTGTGTTCCATTCCTTTTTCCCCCCACATTTTATTGATTCACAAAATTTCTTAAATAATCTAACTACTGTCAATAGCAAGGTCAGCTGGTTTATACATATCTGTGAATACATTTCTGACTTCAGGTGTGAAACTCTTGAGTAGAATGAATATTCTATAAAGTAGCAACTACTTGATGCTATATAGCTTACTACAGTTGTTAAATAGGGATTTTTAAAATATATTTTTTAATTTGAAGAAAAGCAATTTTAGCTTTAATAAATAAAAGAAATCCTAATGAACTTTGCTTAAAACTTAAAGCCAGGAAACAGGTTAGGATTCTGTTCACGTAGTAGGTACATGAAACTGTCGACAGCTCAAGACAGGACACAAATCCTTAAAACCGGAAAACAAAGCCTAGAAGGAAATCAGCAATGTTTTAGTCAAAAGTCATAAAATGTTATTTTACCAGTTCAGTCTCACGTACTTTATCTTCTGTTGTGGTTCGATCTTCCTGATTAAATTCTGGGATATAATATTCAACTCTAGACTTGTCCCTACGATTATGTTGGCCCTTTTCTTAGTTTTTGAACTCTTATTTCTGTGTGTCTGTATTTAATTTTCCTGGTATAGCACTCCCTTGAGAACTTCTTGGAGAACTGGCCTGGTGCTAGTAAATTCTTTCAGGTTTTATTTATCTGAGAATGTTCTTGTCTTCTCTTCCCATATGAAGGATAATCTTGCCAGGTACAGTATTCTTGGTTGAAATTGCTTTTCCCTTAACACTTTGAATGTATTTTCCCATTCTTTTCTCGCTCACATTGTTTCTGATGAGAGATCTGCTGTCAGCCTGATGGGATATCCTTTGTAGGTAACTTGATGTTTCTCTCTTGCCAGACTTAGTATCTTGCCTTTGTCTGTGGTTTTGGTCAATCTGGCTATAATGTGTCTTGGAGAAGATCTTGGGTTGATTCTATTTGGGGTCCTTTGTATTTCTTGGGACTGGATCTTTGAATGGCTCTCCGGTTTGGAAAGTTTTCTTGCAGGATTTCATGGAATATACTTTCAAGGGAGGTTTTGACTTCCTGTATTACAGCCTTCATCTCTAACAGGTCCATTTGATTCTTTTTTATAGTGTGTATTTCTGCTTCTAGGTCTTGCAAGAATTTCCTCACCTCCTGGAACTCATCCGCTCCTTTCTCCTGCCTCTTCTGCAGTTCATTGTCTCTCTTCTCTTCCTTCTGTGTTAGCTTTGTCACTATGAATATTCTAAATTCTTTTTTTTAATAATTATTTATTTTATTTTATTTATTCATTAATTTATTATTATTATTATTTTTAGTTTGACCAGAGAGAGAAAGAGGGTGAGACTGAGAGAGAGAGGAAGTGAGAAAGCAAGCCACTAGATTCAGGACTTGAACCCTGGTCGGCCATGTGGGAGTGTCCAGCGCCTTAACCACCACGCCACCTGCTGGTCCCCAATATTCCCAGTTCTTTATCAGATATTTCCATGAGTTTCATTGTACTGTCTGTGGATGAAGAGGTGTTATTCTTTTCCCTTGGAGGAGAAGTGTTTCCTTGCTTCCTCATATTTCTTGTGACCCTGCTGTGATTTCCAGTCATCTGATGGATGGTGCGTTTCTTTCTAATTCTTGAAGTTCAATCTGAGCATTCAGAGGCGTGCAGGAGGAGGAGATCTGCAACCTCTCTTCTGTTCTGTTTTCACTCTTCGTGCATCAGGTTTAGTGGGAATAAGACGAATATTCCAACCCTAATGGTACTCAGGTGTTTGCATCCTGTTCACTTGGACCTGTTTAGACACTTAGTGCGTAGAGGCCACTAAAAATGAATCTGGAGGGAGAAGTCTCAGCACAAGATCTTCATTTTCAGTCGAGGAAACCAATATTTCACAGCTCAAGTTTGGTATCCATCTCCCCTCTTCGTTTTTGTCTCATCTGTACTAATAACATCCTGGGTTACTTTTTCCTTTTTTCAATTGTCAGAGAGTGTACAGATGTGCCAGAGATAGGCCTCCCATCATTTCTCCATCCTGTCAAGATTTGGGGCCTGTACGCGCATGTGCCCAGCATGTTTTATAAGCTGCTGGAGCCAGGATTCAAACTGCCAACAGCCATGCAGGGCCTTACTCCCTATGTACTTCACTGCTGTGTTGCAGGACAGCCCCATTCTGGGTGACTTTTGAAGCCTTACCGTGCTGTGTTATCTCCTCTGTCCAGTCAGATGTTTATGCTATGTGAATTTGGGCCAGATCAGAGATCTGCTAGTTCTCAGGTGTGTGATTTACACATACCTCTCTGGTCACCTTCAAAAACATAAAATAAAAAATAATGACAATAAAAAATTTTTAAAAGTTTTACCTTGGTAAGAAGAATGCTTCTTATAAATCATAAGAATGAAAATATGAGGAAATCTCCTTGATAATGAGCTTGATTCCTGAATGTCACAGCAGAAATGCAGGATTCCCTATTCTGTTGATTTCTCTCGTTTGGTGAAAACAGCAGGACAGCAAGGCGGGTGATGTCGGGGAGAATGCTACCCAGTACCCTTTATAGTAAGTATCAGGGCTGCAGCAGGTCCTGCTAATCTCATTGCTCCCAGGTCATTTGACAAGGTAGATAATGTCACTTTCTTTGCCACCTCGTGGGTGTATTCCTCCGACCCCTTGTGGCTTTGTGCTTGGTTAAGGTTTTGCAAGTAGCTGCACTTCTCTTCTAGGACCTTTTGTTAAAGATGTTTTCTTTCTTCAATTTCTTTGATGAGTGAGACACATTGACAGTATCAGGACCCCCAATGGGCTGGTGCTGCCACCCACCCCTGGCCTTAACCATCTCACGGTAGCCCCAGATTAAGGGCATGTGTGCCTGTGTACCCAGGGCTCTTGGGTGAGTCGGCCTCGCCAGGCTCCGTGTCTTACCCTGGACAGCAGAGAGGTGCCTGATCCCAGAGCCTGTGTCCATGCTCGCAGGGCCCTCTGGGAAACGCAGTGACTGAGCCTTCTCCACTTCTGTCCTGGTTTGCTTTCCGAAACTACCAAATTTTATATTTCGGTTTAAAAAATTTTGTCTTCTCATTAATAATGGATCAAAAATGTCTTAAGCTAAAATGTTTTAATGTTTTATAAGGAAAAGTATTACTGAGAACGATGGCTCAGTCACGCGGGAATACTTGGTCTTGTGTGGCTTTACACCATGTCTCACCTCGTTTTCTGGTTTCAATAGAACAAGTTGAAATCATCGCAGAAGGATAAAGTTCGTCAGTTTATGATCTTCACACAGTCTAGTGAAAAAACTGCAGTAAGTTGTCTGTCTCAAAATGACTGGAAGTTAGATGTTGCAACAGATAATTTTTTCCAAAATCCTGAACTTTATATACGAGAAAGTGTAAAAGGATCACTGGACAGGAAGAAGTTAGAGCAACTGTACAATAGGTACAAAGGTGAGTGCGACTTTATAAGTTTCAAACCAGGGTTTTCGGTTGTGGGCTTCTCGTGAGAAATCAGATCTATAGATCAAAAATTGGATGGATGTGTTCAACACACCGTGGCTTTATCTTCAGATCCGAGGGGAGAAATTACTTTTCTCTTCTTACTAAAATTTTTTAAGAGGTTTTTGCTTTAGGGTACGTGTACTCACCGAGGAGAGGAGAGAGGGAAAGTAAGAAATCACCCCCAGGGTGGGGGATGGCCACACCGCAATCCCCTCTCCATTCTCCTCTCAGGATCTTGGGCACGCATGCTCACACACCCAGCGTGAGTTTAAAGCTACTGGGTCCAGGACTCAAGCCACGGACAGCCGTGTGGAAGTCCAGTGATACAACCACTACGCCATCTGCTAGTCCCTTACCAAAATTTCTACGTGGCTTCTGTTCTGATTTTTTTCTCCCCCTTTATCCTATTTGAGACTGGGTTGGGGACAGTTTTCTTTCCTCTCTTTTTTATAAACCTCAGCTAAACTAGATTTTTAAAAATCTGCATAATAACTTTTTAACAAATTATGAAATAATATGTACTTTAAAAAGTTAAACACTACCTAATAGGCAAATAAAAGGTTAACAGTTTCTTAGTTTTTTCCTTATTTAGTCTCCTCAGATAATCAGTATTTACTAGCTTTATGTGGACCCTTCCGTGTCTTTTATGTTTCTGTAACAATAGAGTTGTTTTTTTTTTTTTTTTTTTTTTTTAATATTTTTTTTTTTTTTTTGGTCTAGAAGCCAGTAACTACATGCAGTTCAAACCAGAGAGGAGGTCATTACACTAGGATCTGTGTACCAGCAAGCAGTAATCACTGGATGCAATTATGGGGTTCTATTTTCGTGCCCAAGATCCCGAGAGGAGAATGGAGGAGAAGGGATTGCGGCGTGACCATCCCCCCGGGGGGTGATTTCTCGCTTTCTGTCTCTATGTCTCTCTCTGTCTGTCTGGCGAGCTCACGCGCCCTACAGTGAAAATCTCTCCAAAAATAATAATAATAATAATAATTTTTTCTTTTTGGAGAGATTTTTTGCTACAGGGCATGTGAGCTAGCCATAAACAAAAAGACAGCGAGAAATCACTCCCCGTGAGGATGGCCACACTGCAATCCCTTCTCCTCTCGGGATTTTGGGCACATACATACACATGCCCAGCATGAGTTTCATTCCTCCAGGTCCAGGACTCAGACAGTGGTCGACCATGTAGGAGTCCGGCGATGTAACCATTACGCCATCTGCTGGTCCCTCAAAAATTTCAAAATGGGATTTTACACATAACTTATGCCCCAAAGTTAAAGGATGGACATGAATTTTACTGCCAGCAATTCTGCCAGATTACTTTTGGGAAAGTGGTAATAAACCATGTTTGAGGGCAGTAGAAGAGTGCCTCTTTCTCCTATAGTTATCATCATTTAATATTTTTGTCTGTCTGATAAGTACTTTTTTTTTGGTAGATTTTTTTGCCACAGGGCATGTGCACTCACTGGAGAGAGATGAGAGAGGAGGAAGTGAGAAATCATCTCCCAGTGGGGAGGCCATACCTCAGCCCTGCTCCCACTCTCTTGGGAGTTTAGGACCATGTGCACTTGTGCCTGGCGTTTTCCAAGTCACCAGGTCTGAGACTAACCAGAGTCAGCCATGTGGGATCTAGCCACCTTAACCACCATACCACCTGCTGGCCCTACTTTAAACAAGAGATGCTTATATTGTTGAGATTTGAATTGTATATAGGTTTTCCCTTTTTTTTTAATTTATAGGCTTTCTGATACTCTTTTTTTGGAGAGATTGTCGCTACAGGGCGCGTGCGCTCGCCAGACAGAGAGAGACATAGAGACAGAAAGCGAGAAATCACCCCCCGGGGGGATGGTCACGCCGCAATCCTTTCTCCTCCATTCTCCTCTCGGGATCTTGGGCACGCACGCACACGCGCCCGGTGTGAGTTTTAAGCCACCGGGTCCAGGACGCAAACCGTGGTTGACTACGTGGGAGTCCAGCGACATAGCCATTACGCTAACTGCTGGTTCCCAGGTTTTCTGATACTCTAAAGAAGTGATTGCTGTGATAAAATGAACTTTATTTATTTATTTATTTATTGTTGTTGTTGTTTCTTGGAGAGGTTTTTGCTATAGGGCACGTGCGCTTGCCAGAAAGAAAGAGAGAGACAGACAGACAGCGAGAAATCACCCCTGAGAGGGGATGACCACGCCACAATCCCTTCTCCTCCGTTCTCCTGGGATCTTGGGCACGTACACACACACGCCCCGTGTGAGTTTTAAGCCACTGGGTCTGGGACTCAAACTGTAGTGGACTACATGGAGTCCAGCAATGTAACCATTATGCCATCTGCTGGTCCCTTAGAGTGATTTTTATTAAAAACATCATAACAAAAAGATTGAATATGACAAAAATGAGTAAAACAGAAGGCAAGAAATCACCCCCCAGAAGGGAGGGCCAAGCCACAATCCCTTCTCTAGTCTCCTCTCAGGTTTTGGGCATGCACGCACATGCATCCAGTGCGTGTTTCAAGTCTCTGGGTCCAGGACTCAAAATGCAGTAGGCCACTTGCCGGTGGAAACATTACACCATCTGCTGGTCCCAAATGAACTTTGTTTTATGGGAAAATGGTCTCAAATGAACTTTGTTTTAAGGGAAAAAAAATTTTTTAAGAATTATTTATTTTACTTATTATTAGTTATTATTTTTTAAATTGGTGTAGTTATCAGAGAGAGAGAGATAGAAAGTGAGAAAGCAAGCCAACAGGCCCAGGACTTGAACCAGGGTTGGCCATGTGGGAGTCTAGCTCCTTAACCATCATGCCACCTGCTGGCCTTACATGATCTTTTTTAAACGTTTTCAGTTTGAGGAGCAAACATCATAAAGTATGGCACTATTTTAATACTACGTTGTTATTCTTAAAGATCCTCAAGATGAAAATAAAATTGGAATAGACGGTATACAGCAGTTCTGTGATGACCTGGCACTCGACCCCGCCAGCATCAGCGTGTTGATTATAGCATGGAAGTTCAGAGCAGCAACACAATGCGAGTTCTCCAAACAGGAGTTCATGGACGGCATGACGGAATTAGGGTGAGTACGTGCGTGCCGTAGGAACTTGGATACGTCACTGCGGGAATTACTGTGGACTGAAGCATGTCAGGAGCTGTAAAATACAAGTGTAAAAAGGTATGGGCCTACAGATGCTGGTATGCGTGGAAATGGGCCCACACGCTAGTTCTCGTGCCAAGCAGTTTTCTGGGGTTGTCAGATTTATGTCTGTAGATTATGCCTATTCTGTTTATATTATGTTTTTATCATTTGTTTCCAAGGGCGGTTCACTGGTTTTAAAATTATTGTGCATTCATATTTAACATGGAAGTCAAATGAGCAAATTTGTAAGTTATTTCCTTAATGTGGAGCTGTGAACTTTGAATTTATGAAATCCTAGAATATGAAACTGGAAGGCATCTAAGAAGTTACTAATGGATTTTCCACTTATTCTTCGGCAACTGGTTAGTTGAATGTCTTTGGATAAACAGATGGAAAAGTCTTGTGTAAAGGCTTTACCTCTGACCTCTAGTTGTCTGTATTCGATGGACTGCACAAGTGTTCAGTTACGGGTAGGCAACAAGTCACCCTTTGTGTTTTCAGTGGGCCATTCTTGACTAATGATAACTGACATTTATAAGGTAACTTGGAAAAGTCCATTAAAAATGTGTATGATGTGGGGTCAGCAGGTGGTGTGGTGGTTAAGGTGCTGAACACTCCCACATAGCCAACCAGGGTTCGAGTCTTGGACCTGGTAGCTTGCTTTCTCACTTTCTTTCTCTGTGTGTGTCTTTCTCTGGTCAAATGAAAATGATTGAATGAATAAATCAAAATAAATAAATAATTCTTTTTAAAAATGTGTATGATGAAAAACCTGCATAGATTTCAATTCTTTTGCACCAAAATAAAGTCATACATTAATTTCATTTTTGTATGGACATTTTGAAGTCTCCTGATATTGAGCATTATTTTATTTCACCTACCTTTTCACAACAACTTTGTGAGAGAAAGGTCCTGTTTATACCCTCACTTGTCTGAGATCCAGAGAAACTGTAGAGTTAAGTAGTGTTGACGCTGAGTTGTCGGAAAAGTCAGGAAGCGTTTTTGCAACAGACGGCGCTGGTTCATTTCTGGAAGTGCTAGAGTCACCTGCATCTCTGTTATTGCTGTGTCATTTGACAGCTGACAGTTCTAGCTTCATTCTTTTTTTTTTTTTTTAAAGAATTATTTATTTATTTATTCATACATTTATTTTAATTTGACCAGAGAGAGAAAGAAAGTAAGCCACCAGGTCCAGGACTTGAACCATGGTCGGCCATGTGGGAGTGTCCAGCACCTTAACCACCACACCACCTGCTGACCCACTTCTAGCTTCATTCTAAAATTAATTAATTAATTAATTAACGATTTGGTTGAGTTTTGAAGATTTTACAAGTTGAAGATGGAAGACCAAACTGCGTTTTCGCCGCGTTTTACTTCCATGAAGGGAAGAACGCGCATGGAGCTTATGGAAAGTTACATAGTTTATGGTGACAGTACTCCACAGGAACACCAGTGCCAATGATGGTTCATGACATTGCGTGCTGGCAGTTTTGATCTCAGGGACGCTCCTCGGTCAGGGGGGCCCGCTGAGGCTGGTGACGACAGAATAAAGGCATTGATCAAGCCAAACCCACGTTACGTGACGTGAAAACATTGCCTGAACATCCCTCATGGACGCGTTCACAGCCACCTGAAGAAGATGGTACACAAGCAAGCTCGAGGTTTGGGTTCATCCTGACCTCAAACAAGTTGACAGCTCTGTGAACGTCTGTGATCTGCTCCTTAGACCTGGGGAAAGGGATCCTTTTTTGAAGTAGCTGATAACGGTGGTAAGTGGTTGTTCACAACACTGTACAGACGGCCTTGGTCCTGACGTGACGTTTTGCCTTGGAGGACATGGACAGCGGTCGCCATCAGAGCGGGCTCTGCTCTCAGGGTGGTGGGATTATAAACGTGGCATGTTTTTCAAGCTCCTGCCGAGGAACCACGCAGTCAGTTCAAATGTGTACCATTGGCACTTGGACGATTTGAATGCCTCCATCATCAGAAACACAGAGCTCTTGGGTCATGAAGGAGCGCTGTTCCGTCACAACCACACAAGACGGCACCCACGTTCTATCACCTGTCACATGATTGGCACTTGGAGGGCTGTGCGGCCACACCCACCGTCCTCACCTGCCTTGCGCCTCAGACTGCCACCGCGTCCCCCTTCAGAACTCCTTGATGGTACAACGTTCAGTTCAGATGAGGCTGCAGATCAGCACCTTGTTGAGGTTTTCATCAATAAGGACAGGTCCTTCTGTGATGAAATATGAAGCTCACTGAAAGGTGGCAAAAGGCTATCAAACAGGCACTATATCATTGATGTTTGTTCTTTATATAAAATGACCTTTGAAAAATAGAGAAAAAATACATCCAATGGATGAACAGGAGCATGCTGATTCTTTTTTTTTTTTTTTAAGGTTTTTGCCTTAAAAGTACATGTGCGCTTGCCAGAGAGAGACAGAAACAATGAGGGGAAAGTGCGAAATCCCCCCAGGGGAGATGGTCACGCTCTTAGTCCTCCCCTCCAGGCTCCTCCCGGGATGTTGGGCGTGCACACACATGTGCCCGTTGTGATTTTCCAGCTGTAAGGTCTGAGACTTGACCCACGTGGAAGTCCAGCGTGAGGGACAATGCCAATCAAATCAGTCAGAGTCCAGACACAGAAACCACACTAGTAATTTGAACAGAGAAAATATAAAGAGTTTAAATTTTTTTACTGTGTCTAAGGGATAATAGAAAATTCTAAGATGCAACAGATAGCATCTACCTGTGGGGCCTAGGCCAGCAAGCAGACAAGGAGGGAATTTGGAGACCTAAGAGAGCCTCACAGACCTTGGGGCAGATGTCGAATGCTGGGCCTTCCATGTCGAGCTTCTGCTCCTGCTCTGGGGAGAGAAAACTGGCTGGAGGGCACTTGCTGCCCAGCTGGGAGTGACCACTGGTGATGCCGCTGAGACCGTCCCACACTGAAACCCTCACTTGCTGTGGAAAACGGTTAAGAAAAGTTCCTCCCTCCTCCTCTGGTCCATTCATTGCCTCTTCAGTAGAGCCTAACTTTGAACCAGCTGGGAAGAGAAATGAAGTCCTTATAGTTCATAGTTCAGTCTGAGAAAGAAGGGCAACAAATTGATAACTGGCCCGGACATACGGATAGCCAGAGCCAGCTGCGTCCTGAATTTGCTGGGATTTTCTGTGCTAGGACAGTGTTACTAGAACTTGGGGAAAGA